AATATCTTAACCTCCGTTTGCGATTCCCAACACAGCAGCAGTAAGGACTTATCGCGCGGCTGCCGACGGATCGCGCAAGACCCCCTGTAGGGCCTCGTAACTGCATACATTTCTTTGTATTTTTTTTTGGTCGTGCCGGCGTTTCGCGAGTCCCCCTTACTGCTGCTCTCGCAGACGAGTACCAAATGCAGAGTGTAGCTATTGCATGCCGGGAGTTTTTTAAAACAGTCCAGAAAACACAAGAAAACGCGATGGAAATACTGTTCAAAGCACAAGTATGTCAAGCCGATGAAGCACGCCAGCAGTGTTACGATATCCTGCAGCAATGGACTACGACTGACTTGAAGAAAAATGAGCTTTTTGCAAAGTTAGATAGTAGAAGCAAGGCAGGCGCTCTCATGTCAAGGGCAAAGCGCCTTGAACAGTGTTTAAGAGCTGTTCACCCTCAGATTTGGGGTCTGATAAACAGCTTTTTGTATTTGTTATCAAATTCTGATAAAATCAAGAAAAAAGCGCCACATGAATGCCTCCATCACAAGAATGAATGGTCAAGTAGCTATAGTACTGTGGAGTTGGTTCGATGTTTACCATGTAAAAGGAGATTAACTCAAATGGTTCTGCAAGCTGAGCCTTTAAATCGCAACGGATATTTTACTAAATGCAGAAACATGACGATTGACGAAAACATCTTAAAGGTATTGGAAGAAATTCAAAATCTTCTAAAACTCACTTAAAACATCATTAGTATTGATCAGTTTCATAGGCGATAGAGCAGCAGGTGAGCTAGCACCCCCAATTTTGGATTATAAATTTAACTCAGTTCACATTTTGATTTTGTAACAAAAATAATGTTATTAGAAATGCATCGGATAACGTAGACAAAAAGAAGTTGATATTTAAAAAATATTTCGCAATATTTGTATCATTGCTGTGTAGCGAGAGAGTCTCGAGGGAGACAAAGACGTATACGATTGAGAATCACGTTTTCTCGTACTAAGTACTCCTACAACTGAGTACACCTAAGTAATTAAGTTATCTATATGGTCTTGAGTTACAATGTAATACTTGCGTTACATATGTTAATAATAACGTCACAATATTATATGTTTTGCCGTTTTTTTAATAACTTTTCGCCCCTTATGATGGCAAAAAAAAGCTTGTTGAAGTGAATGACCAATGGGGTGTATTTTTGACTGAAAATTGTAAAATTACTTAGCTGATTACGTAAAAACGGTTTTATTGATTCAATCTATCACGACGCATAAAAACAGGGGCGTAGCCAGGGCGGGTGGGAGGAGGGGGCATTATAACGTCTTTAACTATAACTACCAGAATCCATTGCATACTTTCTTATGTTTATTATTTAGCACCAATAGAACCGTTTCGAATTCCAAATTACCGCTGTGTTTCTTGATTACAGACTCATTTACACAGGGTTAGCCTCGAGTTTGTGCAGAATATTCACGTGTTCTAGTCGAGGTCCGTCGAGTTTCATAATTTTTGTACTGTTGAAGTTGCGCATTCTTTACTTTACTGTTGGTATTTGTGAATATTTAGACACTGATTCCTTTAAGGAACTGCGTAACAAGTGTTCTAGTTTCAGATACTATCAATGCTGTAATGATGGACCATATGTCGATCAAAATATTGGAGAACTGTTGGAGAAAATATACTCAGCCTTAGAACCAAACTAGTGTAATGATGTAAGACAGGTTATAGTTTCTATGACTTAAAATTTTGTTTTTAGATGGTTCAGCCGATCTCCAAATCGAGATAATGGAGCGTTCTCCTTCCTCTTCAATCTCGTACCCAGAGCCCACGTTCCTCATGGTCAGCATCGAGAAACGAGAGGCTCTGGTTGTAACCGATTTTCAGTTGGCTTCCGGTCCGTGAATTTCGGACCGGAAGTTTCAACTGCACATGCCTTAATCACAGGTAAGCTGATGTTTGGGCTACCTTTGATCTTCAGGGATTCAAATTGCCTCGAACAAACTGTAATCAATTTTTGACCTTTTTAGCTTGAATATAGTAGTTACATTATTTATCCTTTGCCTTCTTATAGTTTATTTAGTAAATTTTTCCCCCGGGTACTAATTGTTTGTGCTATTTTGTGAGTTTTTAACACGTTTTTTGAGTTCTGAATCATCACGACAAATGCAAGAGCGATCGGCCGCGAACTCGACTCGCACTAATCCTCGTCAAAATTTGCTTAAATTCCAGTCTCCTTCTCATCTACTTCGGGTATGCGAAAGATTGATTATCGTACCACATTCTAGTAAATTTTGAGTTCGATCCAAGCCAATTTAGTGCTTGAAAAATCCACTTATTTCCTGATATATTCGAGTCTGATAGCCATTTTATTTCCGGAACGACTCTTTCTATTGTTTTTCCCCGGACCAATAGGAATGCTCAAAAAATCGGTTACAACCTGAGCCTCTCGTTTCTCGGTACTGACCAAGAGGAACGTGGGCTCTGGGTACGAGATTGCTTCCTCTTCTTTCCAGTTCCCTTTCCTCCCCCATCCCCCTACACGCCCCTCCCCCCTCCCATCGCCACACCCCCACACACCCGGCCTAATACCCGAAGTCTGCTCAACTGACTTAATGTCATCTGTGTTATTTTTCACACATAGAGTGCACGCACTAAAACCGTGAACATTAAATAGTACTAATTAGTACTATTTCATACAGAATCCTTTGTTTTCTATTGTTTAATTATCACTATTTAGTGCTAAAAATTAGTATTTGTTTCACGGATTTAGTGTGAGCACTCTATTAGACCTTTTTGCTTTATCGGTATTTTCAAAATCCGTGCACCCTAGAACAAAGGATGATAATTATTTGCCCGTGGAATCTGGTTTTCTTTGTTTAAGATATAATATTGATATGCGTAAACCCTGGTGAACGAGCACTTGTACGGTGTTTGGACGAAAGAAAGCTTTATAATGGACGGTTTCTACGAATATTCTTTATTCCATAAATTACAAAAAAGATATACTTCGGTAAAAATGAGGGACAAGTGCTAGAATGACGTCATTAGCGTACAGTGTACGCACACAAAACTAATCGAAAATCGACATGCTGCAACATGGGGTCTCTTGGTTGGATAATCCAAGGATATGCTGTCTGATATAGTCCTTCAAACGTCTCTGGTGTCTCACCAGTCAGATGCCAAAATAAAGGTGGTATATTGAGTAGCTCGGACCATACGTCATTTCTTCTTCGCCTGTGCCCTCTGAAATCTGGAAATAGTCTTTCTAAAACGTCTAGCTCCTCTCCAACATCTCCACAAACAAGAAGCATCGTGGATAATAAACTGAAGTCCAATATTTCTTCTGCTCGTACACGGCAAGACCTCACAGTCAAGGCATAGGTATAAAGCATATTTTGTTCTTCACAATATTGATGGTCGGCAGTGCCGAACAGCATCAATATTTTCAAAAATGACAATATAAACCAATAAAATGCGTATTTGCGTAACATATTGCACTCAAAAAAAACCAGTACGCACCCTATAGTACGAAGTGCTATATCTTAACAAAGAAAACCACATTCCACGGGCAAATAATTATCACTCTTTGTTCTAGGGTGCACGGATTTCGAAAATACCGATAAAGCAAAAAGGTCTATTCTGTTTTAGTCCTAAAATTGTCAGTATAAGGGATAAAAATAAATGGTCTACCAAAAGGACGTCATGCGATGTTAATGAATTAATTTTTTTCTACTTATTAGCTTTACAACTAGTACTTATTTAAAGATTAATTAATTATCGCAACATCGCGAGTGCATAAACAGCCGACGATTTTATGACGATTTTTGTTGGGGGAAAAAATGGGGGTTGGAGTGGGGGTTAAAAATGCGCGGTCCTTTGTCATGTCATGATCAGCTCGGAAGCTCTCCTGGGGCCTTGTTACGGAAACAGTAAACAGGCATTTACCTCCGAAAGAACAACAGGACAAGAGTCCCATATAAAGTTCCTCCAAAATAAACGTTTTATGAACAATTGATACTAAGGCCCCGTCCACACGTACTCGCAAATTTTTGTATCCGCAATTTTTTTTTTTTTTACGGATACGGGTTGCGTCCACACGTGTCCGCAAAGTTTTGTGTCCGTATCCGCAAATTTTACGAAAACGCCATCGAAATCACCACTCAAGTCGCACGACAAAATCGCTAGTGTAAAAGTCTTCTTTAAATCTTTTCCCTTATTAAAAGATAATAAAACACCATAAAAAGAATTTGATGAATATACTTTTTTACACGCGCAAATTCCATATATAACAGTTACAGTTATTGATTTGCGCGCGAAGCTGACATTCCAGCGGGAAAACCTATGCTCATGCGCAAGATGTCAACGAACCAAAACACGTGGGGAAGAAAGTAGAAAGTTCATCCGAAAATTCACCGCCAAAAAAAACGAAGTCAACTGAATATTTTTCAAACACACCGAAAGATTTATTACTATGAAGTATATTCTGGTAACCGGTGGTGTTATAAGTGGCATCGGTAAAGGAGTTATTTCCAGCAGTATTGGCACCATACTCAAAGGTTGTGGTCTACGGGTCACTTCTATCAAGATAGACCCTTACTTAAATATCGACGCTGGAACTTTCTCTCCCTATGAACACGGTAAGAGAACAAGTCGTTAACCTATTTTAATTTAATGCTTTTGCACGTTGGTTGTCTGTGAAGAGCAATTTAAGTTTTTTCCCTCTCTCGTTCGACGGACCACCGACCATTCAACTTCGAAGGCGACTGTAAATTTGAGGTTTTGAGCTACAGTAATTTAAATTTTATTCTGAAACAATTGAAGCAAAGTTATTAGAGTATCTTGAAACTATGTTCTACTGGTTAAACAGAGTTTGCTTTTAGAGAAAATTTGAAAAAATTGCCTCAAATGTTAATGTTTTGATAAATTAATATATTCTCGAGGCATACATGATCTCGAGCAGAATGTGCTTTTCGTCACGTCATGTTGAGAAACAGAATGATTTATAATCGTACTAACCTTGCACCCATTATATACGTAGCGTCTAATAAAAATATACAGGGAAAGAATGAGATTTACAACATTTTATGAAACACTCTAAAATGTATGAAATCTTTTGATGATGGCCTTTCTGTGTTAATCAAGCCATACCCAAATATTTCCCTACCCACCCTCCCATGTGCTTAGAAAAAATACTTAAAGATGTATTTGTGTGTTTTATTTTACAGGTGAAGTATTCGTTCTTGATGATGGAGGGGAAGTAGATCTTGATCTTGGGAACTATGAAAGATTTTTGGATGTGACCCTGAAGCAGGATAATAACATTACTACTGGAAAAATCTACCAGAATGTAATCCAACGTGAGCGAAATGGTGACTACTTGGGCAAAACTGTACAAGGTGAGATATACCTTAGGGATTGCACTTGGCCAATGTAACAGTTTGGAGTGATTTGTGGACTGGAGTTGAGAATCTGAGAAAGGTATATTGTGTAGTTCCACAAAAATATCTTCATCTCCCCCACAGGAGAGGAGAAGGGTACATTGTACTTTTCTTCTGTTCTGACACCCACCTCATGGAGAAGAGGGGCGGGTAATGTCTGCAGTTACTTAGTTTTAGAATCTGATTGATTTTGTTTTCTCTCTCTCTCTCTCTCTCTTTCCCTCTTTCTCTCTCTCTTGTTTAGTTGTACCTCATATAACTGATGCCATCCAGGACTGGGTCACCAGAGTGGCTAACTTGCCTATTTATGATGGAGGACAAGAAACTTCTGACGTGTGCATCATTGAGGTCTGTATATAAACCTTAACTAGGAGTGGGCAGGATGACTGGCCATATTAGGTTGAGCAGCTTGTGACCAGTCAAGAGGACTAGCAAGACATTTGCACAGACAAGTGCCAATTTTAGCTGAATATTGTTAGTTGACCGTCCATTATTTTCAGTACTGCATTCATTCATTCTTTCATTTATTCATTTCTTTATTCATTCATTTTTCCTTTATTCATTCATTCATTCTTTCCTTCATTCCTTCCTCCCTTCCTTCGCTCCTCCGTTTATTCATTGATTCATTCATTCATTCATTTTCCTTCATTCTTTCCTTCATTCCTTCCTTGATTCCTTGATTCCTTCATTTATTCATTCATTCATTCCTTTATTTGTCATTCATTCATTTATTCATTCATTCATTCATTCTGCATTCATTCATTCATTCTGTCATTCATTCCATCAAACAAACAAATAATGAGTGACACAACAAAGCTACGTGTAGGCTCACAATTGAATTGTTATTAATTTCCTTTCCCTAATTGATTTATTCCTACTCTTCTGTTGCAGCTCGGTGGTACTATTGGGGATATTGAAGGCATGCCCTTTGTAGAAGCCTTTCGTCAGTTTCAGTTTAGGGTTAAACGTGAAAACATGTGTGTAGTCCATGTGACACTTATCCCAGCCGTAAGTGTTTGGACTGCCGTTTTAGATTTAATAATAATGATAATAATAATAATAATAATAATAATGGGAGTTTCTTATATAGCGCATTTCAAATATCTCAATGCGCTTTATTATAACCAGTGGAGGACTTTACGGGCTGCATATTAAGGTGATATTAGCAGCCGTGCAGCTTACAATCATAGGTGTGAATTGTTTGTACATTAGTAATATGCCTCCAAATTGGGATAGGCTGTTGAACCAGAGACAATCCCCTACTCTTATACAAACAATTCAAAAGGTTCTTTTATGTCCCCCATTTTACTGCAGGTTAGGAAGGGTTGGGAGACAGGGCCTACGGTTTTAAGTCCTTGTCCGAGAAGACTTGAAGGTCTAACCATTTGCAGATGTAATTACAAAGGCAGCATCTTCTCCTCAGTTATTTTAAGACCCTAAGTGTTGGTCCGGCCAAGGCTTGAACTCCGACCTCCCATACAAGGGACTGACGCTCTTACCAACTGAGCTAACCGAGAGGCCTCAACTGAATCCTACACAGCATCAAATGATATTTGCTTTTCTTTTGTCTGTGTATTCTTCCATTTTGTCAAGATTTTGGAAATTTGAGCATAAGTTTTCACAAGAATGTAATCGAAATCAAAATTTAAAGCAACACACACATATGATGTTAACATTGTTGTATGTACTTGCTGTATATTGGCAATACAGTAGCTAGGAGCCAACCAGGCAGCAAGAGAGTCTAGCTGTTTTCAACCATCCTACTGTAAAGCATCTTATTTAAAAGCCATTAAAGTTGGTTCTTTTTTCTTCTTTGATCTTCAGCCTACAGCAACAGGAGAACAGAAGACCAAACCAACTCAGAACAGTGTTAGAGAATTAAGAGGACTTGGACTATCTCCTGACCTGGTATGATTAACTGTTGTAACGTATCGTTTAATAATAATAATAAATAATAATAATAATAATAATATGATATTTTATATAGCATCAATATCCAGACGTTCAACAATGCTTTACATTTTCTATAACATTCTCAATAATAGAATTGAAAATTAAAATTTAGAAAATTACTATTCATTGATCAATATTGTATGGCATCAATGTTGGCAACTTGTCTTGGTCTAGACCTAAGTGAACATTTTGTGAATTACTAAAGCTATAAATGGTAGTTTAAGCCAGAGAATTTTGCTCATTTACTGGCGCATTCTACAATCCTCGACCCTTAATGAAACCCCTGAGAGATGTCTGGAGTCAGTCAGTTTTGCAGAAAGATGAAACGGGCTGTAAAAGGGCAATCCTGTTTCAAAAAGTTAATTATAGAGGGCCACAGGTTTGTCATTTTGTGACTCTCACTTCCTCTAAATTGCTGAGTTGCATTAGTGATGTAATTTCATCTCATTCATCAGCTGAATCACAAGTTTTCAATAGAATTCTTTCTGGTTGACAGCACATGGTAGTCAGTGTTTGACCACCATTTGGAGCCGATAATGAGATTCAAAGACTTTTATCAGCTGATTGAAACCCAGCAATAGAATTCTTTCTGGTTGACAGCACACGGTAGTCAGTGTTTGACCACCATTTGGAGCAGATAATGAGATTCAAAGACTTTTATCAACTGATTGTAACCCAGCAATAGAATTCTTTCTGGTTGACAGCACATGGTAGTCGGTGTTTGACCATCATTTGGAGCAGATAATGAGATTCAAATACTTTTATCAGCTGAGTGAAACCCAGCAATAGAATTCTTTCTGGTTGACAGCACATAGTAGTCAGTGTTTGACCATCATTTGGAGCATATAATGAGATTCAAAGACTTTTATCAGCTGATTGAAACCCAGCAATAGAATTCTTTCTGGTTGACAGCACATGGTAGTCGGTGTTTGACCATCATTTGGAGCAGATAATGAGATTCAAAAACTTTTATTAGCTGAGTGAAAGCCAGTAATAGAATTCTTTCTGGTTGACAGCACATAGTAGTCAGTGTTTGACCATCATTTGGAGCATATAATGAGATTCAAAGACTTTTATCAGTTGATTGAAACCCAGCAATAGAATTCTTTCTGGTTGACAGCACATGGTAGTCGGTGTTTGACCACCATTTGGAGCAGATAATGAGATTCAAAAACTTTTATTAGCTGAGTGAAAGCCAGCAATAGCCACAAAACAACTAGTTAAATTTGTTTTGTTGTGTATCTCATTTAGATTATGTGTCGCTGTAAAACATCAATCACAGATTCTGTGAAGAAAAAGATTTCTCTTTTTTGTCATGTATCACCTGACCAGGTTTGTATCTTCAACCTTCAACATCTTGGCTGATCTAAGTCAGGGCATGGCTAACTCACAGATAGAACCCTGAAACAACCTCTGGGCTGATCTACGTCAGGGCATGGCTTACTCAAATAGACCCCTGTAACAACCTCTGGGCTGATCTAAGTCAGGGCATGGCTAACTCACAGATTGAACCCTGAAACAACCTCTGGGCTTATCCAAGTCAGCATGGCTAGCTCACAGTTCAAATTGGAAGTTGGGTTTTATAGAAAGAGGAAAACCAGAGAACCTGGAGAAAAATATACCATCCTTGACTGAAAGACAATCTGTAGATGCAATTAAATCCAGCATCTTTAATAAACTAAAATTGGAGCTTTACCCCTGGTATTTTTTGTCATTTATTTCTAACAGGTCATTGATGTCTATGACTGCAAGTCGATATACAGAGTTCCTCTTCTTCTTCATGAGCAAAATCTGGTCCAGTTTTTTGATGAACGATTGCAGATCCCACTACAAACTACTTGCAGACCCAAACACTTTATGCAACACTGGAAAGAACTGGCTGAACGGTTAGTACTCTCTTTCTTTCTTCCCTCCCTTTCTTACTTTCTCCATCATTCCTTTTTTCCCTTCCTTCCCTCCATTCCTCCTTCTTTTACTTATTCATTCCTCCCCTCCTTTTTTCTCCATCTTTTTCTTCCTTCCTTCTGTCCCTGCCTGCTCCCTCCCTCCCTGCCTTACATACTTCTTTCCTTTCTCTCTCCTTCATTTCCCTGCCTTACTTCTTTCTTTCCTTTCTCTCTCCTTCATTTCTTCCTTCCTTGGTTTTATTTTTTCATTCTCCTTTTTAAAAATACCTCCAATGAGACAAGAATCAAACACTTCTAAATTGTGAAGACGCACTAAAACCATCGCTAACCAACTCAAAATGAGAGTACTAATATACCTAATCAGATCCATCGATCAAAGCTAGCATTCTTATTCCACAGAGAAGAGCGCGTTCTTGACGTAGTGAAAATAGCAATTGTTGGCAAATATACTAAATTAGAGGATGCTTATCTGTCTGTGCTGAAGGCTCTCAAACATGCTTCTTTACACTGCAACAGAAAACTGGAAGTTGTGGTGAGTCTCATTCTTGAATTTCATTTGTAGGCACGGCACTAGAATTTTTCAATCCTGGTCCAGCGATCCACATAACTGCTCAAATTTTGTTGTGGGTACCAATCAATATTTTAGGGAACCCTTGTCAACACAAAGGAAGTGAGTCCTGGGACACATTTGGATCCCAAGCATTGTGTTGTGGGTGCCAATCAATATTTAGGAAGCCCTTGTCAACACANGTTGTGGGTGCCAATCAATATTTAGGAAGCCCTTGTCAACACAAGTGAAGTGAGTCCTGGGACACATTTGGATCCCAAGCATTGTGTTGTGGGTGACAATAAATATTTAGGAAGCACTTGTCAACACATCAGAATTATAAAAATGCATTTTTTGGCAAGCTCCAGTGTTTGGTGGGTTGTATAATAAAGAAAAATGTGTGTAATTGGCTATAAAATGTTGTTGTGAAATTAAAAATATTTTTAGTTTACTTTACACCACAGATCATTTTCTTTTCTTTATTTTCAGTCTACTCTTATTTCAAATTTTTTTTTTTTCAGTGGGTTGATGCAGAAAACCTAGAAAGGGAAACTCAAACAACTAATGCAGTGGAGTATCATTATGCATGGCAGAAACTCTGTGGATGCGAGTAAGCACTTGTTTTCTGTCCCCTCCCCCCCCCACCCCCTCCCCACCTACCCCGCACAAAATTCCATTTTAATGTAATGATGACTGTTCAGTTGCTGTTAAGGATCAACCAAAAATTCTTTTCGCTCGTCCATACACGTAGTTTTTACATAAGGATAACCCCATAATTTCCTCTTCAAGATGTGTATTATGTCGTTTGCATGTACATGTAATGTTTTGCTTTTTTTTTTACTTTTAATATCCATGTAACTACTACATGTAATACCTGGTTTCTGGGTCAACGTCACTGATAAAAGTGACTGCCAAGGCAAAGATTGGATCAAACAAGCTCCAACTCTGATCAGACATTGTCCAATGACTCTGTTATCTTAAGCCCTGCCATCCTTGCTCTACTGTTCCCAAACAATAATTACCCACTTATTTGCAGGGTTCGTGCTATTCCTTAAACTCCTTGAAAATCCCTTGAATTTTTGCTTTGATCATTATTTGCATGGTTCTGAAATAGATCTAGTCAAAAAGATCGGAAAATCTGAAAGTTGGCCATGTGCAACCACGGTGTAAAACCTTGGCATAGTTAGCAGAACATACTACTTGAATTTTTGGGTCTATGTATATTCCTTGAATAGTCCTTGAATTTTAAGTGGTTACCTCAGCACAAACCCTGAAACAAGCTCAAACTCTGATCAGACATCGTCCAATGACTTCATTATCTTAAGCCCTACCATCCTTGCCCTACTGTTTCCAAACAAGTGCCCACTTATTTGATATCTTTGTTTTTTTTGACAGTGGTATCCTTGTGCCTGGTGGATTTGGAAAGAGAGGAAGCGAAGGAAAGATAGCAGCTGCAGAGTGGGCAAGAACCAAACCAATACCTTACTTAGGTAACCATGACAATATGCACAACATTTAAGGTATCAAGGGTGGTGTAGTCGTAGTGCACTCTCCTCTCACCTCTGGGGTACCAGGTTTGATTCCTGAACTCTGCTTCACATGTGACCAGAGTTTGTTACGTCTTTCCCTTGATACGATGGTTTTTCTCCAAGTTCTCCAGTTTTTCTCTCTCCTCAAAACCTAACAATCTAATTCCCAAGTTAATCTGTGAGTTAGCCATGCCCTGATGTTGATCAGCCCAGAGGTTGTTTCGGGGTTCAATCTGTGAGTTAACCATGCCCTGATGTTGATCAGCCCAGAGGTTGTTTCGGGGTTCAATCTGTGAGTTA